ATTGAATTAGGCCACAAAAGTTTCCACATCAAATGTTTCTACATCATTTGAGCCTGTCGCTTCCTTTTGCAGTGTTTTCTTTGACAACAAGCCCAGTCCCCTCGTGACAAGCAAACCTCATTTTTGACAATTGCCCGAGCTTCTACATTGTCATTTCTGATTAAATGAAAAAATAATAATAGGCTACAGTAAAAAGCAAATGAATGAGGCAAATATAAAGAAGATATGATCTGATACCCTAATGCAGAAGGCTTGTTTTGTGATTTCTATTTAAGATGAGGCATAATAATTGAATGATGCCATTATATAACAGCCTAAATAATTGACTAGTGGAATTTGGGCCAGTTGTGTCAGAAGCACAAAAACGTCTAAAGGAAGTGATGCAAGTTAAAATGCTGAATTTCTGATAATCACTGATAAACCAGAGATGTTGGAAACGGATATGTTTTTAATCCATGTAAACAAACTGTCATTGTCTTAGCAAACAAAATCAACAATGGACACTTGTGAATCCTGTTCCCAGAGTTCACATTGTTGTTTTGGTATTGGCGCCATCTGATGGACAAACAGAATCACCTTTCTCTGGGAGTCGCAAATGTTAAAAGAAAGTTAAAAGATATTAGCAATAATGTTATGCTAATAGTGTTTTTAGCAATAAAATATTTTTTTTGTAATTTTAGTTCTTACTAATAGAAATAAAATCGGTGAATAATAATTTTTTTTAAAGAAGTGCAGGGCTCAAACAACTTCTTCCAGGAATAAAGTCATTTTCTTCCCCCCGTCACTTATTTGGCAGGAAAGTGTCTGTTTTTGGGCCAAAAATGAGGGTTGCGTCGGCCAGCCAGACTGAAGCTCCTGAAGGTGTCCTGATGTGTTTCCTGCTCTCAAATTACCAAATTGAACTCTTTAAAAAGGCTAATCGACAAACTGAAGGGGGTGAGGCAAATATGGTGTACATTATACTGTAAATATGCAGTAATTTGAATCGTATTATCTGCTAATTTGATTTATCGAGTGAAAGCGTGTCGGGACATCTGGAGTTGATTAATACTAAAAACACAGCTTGTGAAGACCTGCCTTTTCAGCATCTTCCTTCGAATACAGTTCCAGAATTTGAATAACAAACATCCAGTTGCTTCTGGAACTCCGCCTGGCTCCATTTTAGCAGACTGACATTAGATAAGAAAGGGAGTTTTCTTGGTTTTATTATATAACACAAACTAAACAATAGGGAAATACATCAGAGTTGAAATATACATCATGCTTTTGTCATTGATAACTATACTTTTGCTTGGAACTGCACAAACTCAAAGGACAACTCCTGATTTTATGATGGAGTATTTTCAGAGACAACTTCAGCAGCTGGAGGTAAGAATTTTTTCCCTAAGATAACTTATTTGTGGCCAAATATGTTTGCTTTAACAGTAGCCAATAAAATATATTAATACATTATACATTGGGTACTTTTAGGACAATTAAAGCTTACTATTAGCTATACGTTTTATACTCTTTTTGTATACTGTGATTTTGTTAAGTATGTGTTCCTGGATCTGGATTGTTGGTTCTGGAGCAAAATTTCTACAACATAACACTAACCTAACCATAAACTTATAAAACCAGGCAGAGAAATTTAACTGCACTAATGTGCAGTTCCCATTAGCCTAGAACTTTTTTCCATTTCTCTACAATGTGACTGGCGATTTGGAATGTTGCTCCAAGACTAACAAGGATGTTGATCCTTGCCGTACTTGGCCAAATCAGGGGGTCCAGGTTTAGCTGGTTAGCTATGTGTTCAGACTGAATTAAATTTCAAGCAAAACACATATAAATTGCTAACATTTAAATATAGTAGATGTTTTACCAGTTGCCGTTCTATTCATTTTAGTTTTATTCTTGAGTTTTAATATAGCGTGATCAGTCACATGGTATTTTTGTGCATTCATCTGAACAGGGACGACTGATCAAATGCGAGCAGGACTTCCAGCACTTCAGTCAAAGGATGTATGAAATCTCTAAGGAGATACATGGGCAAACAAGCAAGGCGAACGTGTTGAAATCAGAGGTCAAAGGTCACATTGATACCATCGCTATGCGCATGGATCGAGTGGAGAGAGATGTGGAATACCTGCAGAATAAGATCCCTGACAACGCTCAGGTTGACATTGAAGACTCGCTGATCGAGCACCAGATGAAAGAAGCCAAGCTAAAAAAGACATCTGTAATCCCTAAGGGCAAAGGTAAATAAGAAGTTTAGGTATCTATCATTTGGAATTAAGCCCTACAATTTTAATTTTTAGGACTTTTTTTGGTGTTAGAGTATTACATGTAAACATGTAGATTAAGAATATTTACCCCCGGTTTCACAAACAAGGCTTGAGCCTAGTCCCAGACTAAAATGCACGTTTGAGCTGTTTTAACTTAATATCTTAAAAAATATTTTTTTTTCTAAGGCATGTTTATAAAAGCTACTACGTCCTAATTGAACTAAGGTCTAATCCTGGCTTCTGTCTGTGAAAACGTGCCTTAGTTTCCAGTAATTGATAAAAGGTATCAATGAATTGTGCGTTCCTATAAAAAACATATGGTAAATAAAGGATGTAATTGTATAAATGTAATATTTCTAATAACTTATATTGCTATTGCTGCATAAAGTTGATTATTTTGATCTTGATTCTTCCAGACTGCAGTTCAGAGCTTGTGGGTATCAAGTCCCTCAAAATCGTCAAGAAGGCAGGCGACGTCAATGGATCCTGGATGAAGGATCCGACGAAGGGTTCTGCTAAGATTTACTTTTTTAGCGGCACTCGAAACAGTACAATATTAGCATATACTTCTCTGAAGACTTTCACCGAAGCAAACTCCACCAAAAAGACGGAAGTTATCCGTCTTCCTTTTCCCTGGCATGGAACCGGCCATGTAGTCAACAACGGCTTTGTGTACTACCACAACGCAGACACCAACAATGAGATCCTGAAGGTCCACCTCAGCAACCGCACAGTGGCTGATCGCTTGCTGCTTCCTGGAGCCGGTCGAATGCCGGCTTATTCCCTCAGCCCTCACACCTTGCTGGATCTCGCCCTAGACGAAATGGGGCTCTGGTCGATCCATGCGGACCCAGACTTCGGCGGCAACTTGGTGATCTCCAAGCTGGACCACAGTAGCCTGGCTGTGGAACACACTTGGGATACCAATTGCAATAGCCGTGATGCAGAAGCAGCTTTCATAATCTGTGGCACCTTATATGTGGTCTACAACTCCCACTATGGTGGAAGGTCCAGCATCCAATGCTTGTTTGATATCCACGACACCATCTACCCCGAGAGCATCCCTGTGCTTTTCTTCCCAAAACGTTACACCAGCCATTCCGGTTTGCATTTCCACCCCAAGGATAAGCATCTGTATGCTTGGGATGATGGTTATCAGACCATCTATAAGTTAGATATCAAGAAGATATAAGATAGGTCAGTTCTACATGGAATCAAAAGGGCAGTTACAATAAGGTCCTTTTAACCAGCAGTGCTTTATTCTTCTTCCCAATCACATCTGATCTGCTTGTAATTTAACGGAAAGCACTTTGTAGTGCACTTTGTTGTTGTACCAGACTGTAATTTCCTGAAAAACAAAGGACTCTTTGGCTTCCTCGGTTCAGCCAGAGGACCGCTAGTATCGTATCTGCACTCTTTCTATGATTGATTTGAGACAATAAAAGTTGTTTATAAAAGAAGTTTATCCAACAGCAGTAGGCCTACACTAGAAATAAAGAGCATTATACAAAAACAAATGATCTCCAATGAATATGTCTCTCAAAGAAAATATTTTTGTACAGAATTTGTTGCCATTTCAAATTCACAGTATTGCTGAGGTGGATCATGCATTGAAATATTACAATGTGCTCCATACAAGCACAATTTGTGTATTACTTATTTGTATGACACATTTTGGCAATAAATAATCATTGATAATTATTATTTAATTAGTAATAATTTAATTAATTTGTTCAACATCAATTCTTGTTCTCAGCCTGCAATTGCCATGGTTGTCACTATTGGCCCAGAATAGGCTCCCACCGTTTTTGACCAATGAACTTTTCCAGCTAATTTTTTTATTACTTGTTTACACAATTCTATAATAATTTAATGAAGATTGTTGGGGATTGTAATTGATATGTCAAGTAGGGTTGCCAACTGTCCCGAATTAGCCGGGACGTCCCGATTTTTGGGCCTAATTTATTATTACCTCTCTTGTCCCGATTATTAAGTTGGCAACCCTAATGTCAAGTATCAGTATTAACACCTCTAAGTAATTATGCTTTTGAGTACAAAGTCTTCAAAGTATATTCATTAAATAAATGTTTATTACTATTTTGTTCACTTTTCCAAGGCTTTAAATTATGATTTTAAAATATTTCCAGGTTTATTTTCATGAGTCAAATACTTTGGCCTTTTTACATTTTGTTTTTAGCTTGCAAGCATGTACCTGCGCTGATAAACGTTAGCGCATGCGCACGTGTACATGTTAGCTGTACTTGTCATATTTGTGAATTTGAACGGCCTGAACAATAGATGGCGCTGCTATTCTCCCCTTTCTTTTACTGTCTATGATTCTCCCCACAGATTTCCAGCACCACCTGAACATGTGGTCACTAGTTGTTGTAACCATAGACTGTGGTTGTAAGTAACGGAACATATTTGAAGACAAAGGCGACACTACAAACAGTTATTGAAATGATTATTTTATGAGTTTATTTAATTCGGTGACAAAACATTTAAAACTAATGAAATTTGTTTTCACTGCTCTTGTGTTTTTTTAAATATTCCCTCCTCGTTACCTATACCAAATTAAACTGTTCCGCTATACTTTGACCGCATTATTATGACTAAAGTGTTACTTTAGTTTATTTATTTTAATTATAATATGGAAATCTTTTGGCGATAAGACCCGCCCCTTACAGCACATGACAGGTGATTGGTCAGATGTAATGTACCTCATAGGGCTTTATTATATTGGAGCAACGCAGTTCGATGATAACAGATGAGCGGGACGCCAGCTGACAACAAGAGGATTTAAAATCGGCCAGGATCGGAAATTACTTACAATACAGGTACGTTGAATTTTTAAAAACATCCTGCCAACATTCCTTTCTTAGCTACATAACAACTTTTTCGTCATTTTAAGCAGTTTTAAATAGTCTTTCGCATGTGTAATGTCATAGAAATTATCAAGAAAGTTTAGGTGCAACGGTTCCTCGAGATAAATTTAATTTAAATCACATTGATTGATCATTTCTGCCGTTGTATTATTATTATTAATGATAAATGTGTGAGTTGTAGCTACTATATGGGATCAAAATGATCTTAATTATCTTAAAAATTATCTTTAAAAAAAATGCATTAGCATATAGTGTTTGTGAAGTTTAATACCGAATCCAAATAAGTAGGCTATACATAAAAACTTTAAATTCGAGTGAATATAATTATTTACATTTATATATTAGTACACCAATAAGCTGTAATGATGACCATGTGAATTCTATTATCTAATGCAAATAACTAGCCTATTTAATGAAAACATAAAAACGTCAAATGTGAGTAAATATAAATCACTCCCATTTAAAGTCTTCTTGCATTACATTATATAGTAGTAGTACACAAATAAGCTATACTGTGATGATGACCAAAGAGGAATAATCACTGACCAGAAACTTAAACTCAAACGTGATTGGTCTGTCAAATCCTGAAGGATCTAGGTAGATAACTGGGTCATACAGTGTAGGATGAACGGTCTCAGATTAGCCATTATCTGAGCGAATATTCACAAAACATTCGGCACTGAAGCCTATTACAGTTCTTGTCTCTGCCTGTTACCATTCATTGTCCACGTTTGTTTTACTGCCAGTTTTTATTATAGTGCATAAAGCCTCTTCCTTCAGTGCTGACCCCAGTGGGCTCAGTGAGCAGCCACACTCTGTGCTGCGATGGAGATTTCACTTGGTAATGACTGTGGGGTTCAACAAAGCTGTCTGTGAAGATCATGTGCTTAGAGAAAAGGATAAAGGCTTTTTTATTTGTCCCTGGCGTTCTGAAAACAACACAATTGTATTGCTCTTTGATGAAACTACCATATGTTTGCCAAATTAAAGCATTTAGAAATATAAGAGTTTAATAACTTGTTGTGGATGAACATTTTAGTTGTTACAGTACAGTTTTTTTTTTAAATAACCATGTGATAATGTGTAGTCTTGAAGTAGCTTAACATTTCAGAGATGTTTAAGGCGGAATCAAGCCTTTACAGTCTTCATAACCTTTGACTTCCTTCTCCGTCCCGCTTTGACCCTCACCTTTCTGTATTCAGGGAAAGAGATGTTGAAATCTAGTGAGATCATCTTAGCATCTTAGCAATTTCTTGTCAGAGCTAATTAAAAGCAAGACATTGATTTCTGATTGATTTTTTGTTGTTGTTGTAGCAAAGTTGAACACAGTAAATGGTTTATGATAACAGGTGAAGGAGAGCGTTCATATCGTTGTTTTGGACAGACACTTAGCCCTCAGGCTCTACTGTGTGATTATTACCGTGCCCTTATTTCCATAGAGGTGCACACACACGTCCTGATTGACCAGTTTTACCACAACCGTTTCATTCCCAGAACGATAATTTGAAAATTGTAGTGATTCTCTCACTGATATCAAGTAGTTAGTTCAAGATAGTTCACACAAAAATAAAAAGTCTGTCATTATTTACTCACCCTCATGTCATGCCAAAACCTGATATTTTGAAGAACATTTTGCCAAAATTGAACAAAAATGGTACAAAAAGCGGTCACTGGGATTGGTACCCTTTAAAAAGGCTCTAATTTGTACCATTTAGGTACTAAAATGTACACGTTTGGTACCAATAAGAATCTTTGAGGTACTAATATGCACTCCTCAGGTACAAAGGTGTACCTTTTGAAAGGGTACCGCCCCAGTGGCAGCTTTATACTGAATGTTAATGGTGACCAAAACAACTCAATAATGATGACTGACAACTAAATAAAATAATACTAACTGTTTACTGAAGTTTTGTGCAGTATTGTATAGGGATTCAATCATTTCTCCAGCGCACACTTTGAAGTAGTCCAAAAACGTAGGCAGCTGACTTGTTGCCTCGTTGCCTTATCAGGCCATGACTTTGCAGGGAGCTTTTGCGCACGAAGGCACCTCATGAAATTGATTTGGGACAGACTTCTGAGGTAGCGTAACAGTTTAATGATCTACAGCAAAATATAATGAGGTTTGGTGATAACTAAGTGAATATTTAATGACTACAATAGTAATTTCGCGCTAGAATTTACATAAAAAGTAGGGAACGTTGGTCAAAAACGTACATTTAAACACAAACTGACCACCAACCGCAACTTTTAGACGCCAGCTTTATTTTTTAGCGAATTTTTTTAGCGCTCGAATTTACATAAAAAGTAGGGAACGTTGGTCAAAAACGTACATTTAAACATAAACTGACCACCAACCGCAACTTTTAGACGCCAGCTTTATTTTTTAGCGCAATTTTTTAGCGAGATTTTTTAGCGCTAGAATTTACATAAAAAGTAGAGAACGTTGGTCAAAAACGTACATTTAAACACAAACTGACCACCAACCGCAACTTTTAGACGCCAGCTTTATTTTTTAGCGCAATTTTTTAGCGAGATTTTTTAGCGCTAGAATTTACATAAAAAGTAGGGAACGTTGGTCAAAAACGTACATTTAAACACAAACTGACCACCAACCGCAACTTTTAGACGCCAGCTTTATTTTTTAGCGCAATTTTTTAGCGAGATTTTTTAGCGCTAGAATTTACATAAAAAGTAGAGAACGTTGGTCAAAAACGTACATTTAAACACAAACTGACCACCAACCGCAACTTTTAGACCCCAGCTTTATTTTTTAGCGAAATTTTTTAGCGAAATTTTTTAGCGCTCGAATTTACATAAAAAGTAGGGAACATTGGTCAAAAACGTACATTTAAACACAAACTGACCACCAACCGCAACTTTTAGATGCCAGCTTTATTTTTTAGCGCAATTGTCACAGAATGGAAAGCACAGGATTGTGGGATATCAAAGGCAGTGAAGGATACATCTATGCTGCCTTCAAAAATCGGAAGTGAAGCTAACATTGGATTCGGATGTGCCTTGATGCCTTCCTACCTTGGAATGCGTCTTCCGAAGGCAGCGTTTTTAAGCTTTCGGATGCAGCCATTGGATCATTCACTCAGTTCGCTTCCTCACAGGGCTCTCTGCAAAGCATTATGGGAAATGTATTCTTAAAGCTAAACAGCATTATATCAAGGCAGTTTAAACTGTTTCTATTATTATTATTCAACACTATTTAACATTCATATAACTAGTATTATATTCAGAACAACCCCAATTAATTTTTATTGTATGGACATTTCTAAAAATATCTTTGTTTGTATTCCACAGAATAAAGAAAGTCATACAGGTTGGGAACAACATGAAGGTGAATAAATAATGACATATTTTTAATATTCAAGTAAACTGTCCCACTCAGTGCAACCTTTTCGAAGGCTTGTAAAGTTAAATGCAGTTCAATCAGCATCTAAAAGGGTCCATCACTCACTTCACTTAAACAAAAAACAAACAATAAACTCTTTGATTTAGATACCAACACTAGGTTTAAGAATCGAGATCCAATTCCCAGTTGCATTTTGCACTGAATACTGTAACCTAGCGGAGGAAACTAACTTGAACATCTACAGTTGGCATCAGACTTTTTGTGAACCCCGTCCTGAGGACTGAGGTAGACAGCTGTGGAGATCCCATGCAATATGCATTGGGCAGTATTGATGTCAGGGACCTGTAGGACAGAGCCGTGACGTTTTGCCCCGTGAGCAGGGTTTTCCTGTGCCGAGCGGCTCACTGACATTTTCACGGGCCTTGGCACCACAGTCGAATGCACCTGCTCAGGGCTGACATTTCTCTTGTTACTGTGGAGGAGTGCAGCGTTCACCCCAGCTGCCAGAACGCATCCGCTCCGGTGAGTACAGCTCAGGATCGTCCAGGGTCTGAGCCCGAATCGAACTTACAACCGCCTACACCGAGTCATGAATCATTCCGAGTGTGTAACATCAGAGCTGTTTTGATCTCTTGGACATTCTGACGTTAATATGTGTGGAAGTGTTATGTGAAACGTCTTTATTAATACGGCGAAGCTTCCTCTTTGTCTTCCGCTTGTTGATCACGCTACTCCGCCTGTGGTGTTTAGTCATAAGGTTCTGCAACTCTATCCCCTTGTTATTTGAACCAGGTTTGTTGTGGATGACTTAACGTGTTTGAAAAGTAACCTGTATTGAGAAGGTAGCTTGTGGCAGAGCGTAAACCTGCTTGTAAAATCACACAAAACGTCCAGATCCCACAGCGATGAGGCCTTGTGTCACATTGGGAACTGCGCTTCAGGTCACCTTTCTAACATTATAGAGCGTTTGACCAAGGTATGCGCAGTGCCCACGCGATATGTCACTCCGTCAGCTGCTTACTGAACACACACACAAACACATTGGGATGGTTTAATGCAGAGTGCTGAGTGGGGACGGTTAAGCTGTTCGAGGACTGCTGTCTTTGATGTTCTCATATTAAGCTGTGTTGACGTGCTGGGTTTATTGGTCTGACACCTAATGCTGATGCCACTTCCTCCCCCTGCAGTATTTCTGCCCAAGGCTGATACAGTATGTGTCATTTTTTTGGGTTTTACTGTACATAGTGGGGATTGCTATTTGCTAACAACATGGATGGAAAATACGTATATGGAGTGGCTTACAGGCAAATTAATAACAATTAAAAATTATAATTAACATGGTTTTAGGTTTCGAATAATACCATAGTTGGCACAGTGGATTTATTAACATAACATTTAATATTTTGATATACACTACTGTTCAAAAGATTGGGGTCTGTAAGATTACATTTTTTTTAAATAAGTCTTTTCTCACCAGTGCATTTATTTGATCAAAAATACAGAAAAATAATAATATTGTGAAATATTGCAATTTAAAATAACTTTTCTATTTGAATATATTTTAAAATGTAATTTATTCCTGTGATGGTAA